TGTTGAGTATCGAGTGCGACTGTAGAGCGCGCTCGTGATGAAGAAGAAGCAATGGTCGATATCGATCGAAAAAGTCATGGTCGGCTACGGTCGGTCTTGAGTGTCGATTTATAAGTTTATATTTTAAAATAAAGTATTAGTCAGTTTTCATCAAGCATTGAGCAATTGTGCATTCCCGGATCAACCCAACATTCAATACAAAACATATGGTCCTTCGAGCCGGATTCATTCAAGTCTCAGTATTGCATCGGACGACGAGGATAACCTCCCGACGGTCGTGATTGTGACTATCAAGGGTCCGCGATACACGAGACAGGAAAGCAATGCCAAATTTCGGGAAGAGCACACATCGTTGACAAGCATCGAGAACACAACGTGAGATTACCTGTATACAATACATATTCGAGAAGCATCTACAATCGGGCAGCTGCCATTTTGTCGTTTCGCAAGCGAGCGAAGCGAACATTCGAGAACCATAAAAAAAACTGTCGAGCGCAACACAGTAGTAAGTATAAGCGGCGGATTTGAGGTTAGTCGAGATATCGAGACGAGAAGTATTCTCGCGAACAGCGAGCCAGTACAACATCTATCACAACAGTGATTCAGTCAATACGAGACGTCAATAAATCAACAGAGTCGTTTGTCGTCACAAACATAAACATCGTAGTTACATCAAGGGACGTGTATTTGGTCTGTAGTAATCATCTCAATATTTAAGATGGCACAAAAAGAGTTAACGCAATTGAATAGAGAACGCGGTATCATAAAGGGCTAGGTAACGCGCATCCAAACCTTCTTTGCAGGTTTTGACGCAGCTACAGAGAGCCTTGAGGAAGTCGATGCAAGACAACAAAAACTTCGAGAACTATGGGACTTATACGATCAAACGCAATCAAAAATCGAGAGTATCGACGATTCCGACGAGCAACAGAAGGAGCGTGACATCTTTGAGGCCTCCTACTATCGTGCCGCAGCAGCAGCTAAGCGACTCTTGACACCACCTGCCACTTCAACCAACAGTGGAGGGAATGCAAGGTCTCGAAGAGATCCAATTGTCGCGCAGGACGATACAGAGCAAACCATATCTAACATTAAATTGCCATCACTAAATCTTCCGAAGTTCGATGGCAGCTACGCTCAGTGGCTGTCATTTCGCGATACGTTTCAGGCACTCATCGACGAGTGTACCTCGTTATCTGCAATCCAAAAATTTTATTATCTGAGATCCTCATTACAAGGAGTCGCCAGTCAGGTTATAAATTCGTTGGAAACCACAGCTGCCAACTATAAAGTAGCTTGGGATCTATTAAAAACACGGTTCGAGAATAAACGTTTGATGCTTCATCACCATGTTCATTCCTTGTTTGAATTAGCTGCTATTCCGAAAGAATCAGCTCCGCAACTGCGAAAACTCGTCGATGAGTCTCTCAAACATCTAAGGGCACTTGATTCACTGGGGCAACCAACCAGTGAGTGGGACTGTCTGATGGTGTATTTAATCAGCTCTAAATTAGATTCAAGCACGCGTCGCAAATGGGAGTCGAGGATCACAGCAAATGACCCCCCAACCTTTGAACAGCTCACAGAGTTTTTAACGCAATATTGTTCAGTCTTGGAGACCTTGCAACCCTCCAAACACACAGCGAGTAAAACACAAAGCGAAAAGAAGGAAAAGAAGTCAGATCAAGCGATTTCTTGCGCGAGTCTTAAGAGTAATAATTCTAAGAGTTGCGTCATGTGCAAGGGTGAGCATGTGATTTACAATTGTACAACGTTCAAAGACGCATCAGTCGAGACGCGCTTAAACGAAGTTAAACGCAATAAATTATGTTTTAATTGTTTGCGAGATAATCACACAGTAGATAAATGTTTAGCAGGCGGATGTAAACGTTGCGGTAAGCGGCATAATACGCTACTCCATTTTGACGAGTCTCGCCCGAAAGTTAATAACGATAACGCGTCAGTCGAAAAATCGAGCTCTAATTTAGACAACCATGATCATGCGTCCAAGGACTCATCAAATTCTCTTACATTATCGCATTATTCCGTTAGTAAAAGGCCGCAAGTTTTGCTCTCGACGGCACTCGTCAAGATATACGATAAGGCGGGTAACCCGCATCTGTGTAGGGCTCTTCTGGATTGTGGATCGCAGTCCAACCTAATTACAAGAGACTTAAGCGACAGGTTACAACTAACGAAACAACAAATTAAGATCTCGCTTTCAGGAGTCAATTTGAGTAACTCGAGTGTCACAGAATCACTTCACGCCTCAATCAAATCGAAGGTGAATGAGTTTCAGACAAAGCTCTCGTTTTTGGTCCTAGAACATATCACAGGACACTTACCCACTTCAAATGTTGACGTCCAGCAGATCGTAGTGCCAAAGGACGTCGTCCTTGCCGACGCATCGTTTCACGTTCCAGGAAAAATAGATTTACTTCTCGGTGCCGGCATATTCTGGACGCTATTATGTATAGGACAGATACGAATTCCGAACAGTCGGCTGATACTTCAAAAAACCAAGCTCGGCTGGATTGTCTCCGGAACTATTCCACTCATCGATACAAAATCTGAAATCGTTCAGTCAGTAGTGTGTGGATTCACATTCGACCAAGAACTGGAGCAGCAGGTCGAAAGATTCTGGAAGATCGAAGAGTACGCTCCACATAAAAAATATTCAGCAGAAGAGCAGATATGCGAGAATGACTTTCGAACTACGCATCGAAGAGATACGGATGGGCGATTCGTAGTCAGTCTCTCTTTTCGCGATGGTATAGATAGATTAGGAGAGTCGCGTAGCACGGCGCTTAAGCGGCTCAATGCAGTCATTCGAAAATTGAATCGACATCCTGATCTAAAGGTCCAGTATAAAGCATTCATGGACGAGTATCTTGCATTGGGTCACATGACTGAAGTTTCGGATAACAGCCAAACCAAGCATTTTTGTCATTATATTCCACATCATGCGGTTTTGAAGGAGTCAAGCACGACAACGAAGCTAAGAGTAGTCTTCGACGCTTCGTGCAAAACATCAACAAACGTATCGCTCAACGATATCTTGCGAGTCGGCCCAACTATCCAACAAGATCTCTTCTCGATCATCGCTCGTTTTAGACAGCATCAACATGTTATCACGGCCGATGTAACTAAGATGTACCGGCAAGTCAATTTGCAAGAGAATCAACGAGATCTTCAAAGAATTCTGTGGCAACCAGACGCACAACATTCAGTAAAGGAATATAGACTGAACACTGTCACGTATGGATTGGCAACAGCACCGTTCCTCGCAATTCGGTGTCTACATCAATTAGCGTACGACAATCAAGACGAGAATCCAATCATCTCTGACATAATTCGCAACGATTTTTATGTCGATGATTTACTTACCGGCGCAGATACAATCGATCAGGTACGCTCAATTAAACGAGAGGTTACTCGAATCTTGTCCACTGGGAAACTTCCGCTACGAAAGTGGAACACAAACACACCAGCTGTCATCGAGGAAGAACGTGAGACCAATTCGGCCATCGACCGACCGATTGGGGAAGAAGTCAAAACATTGGGTTTATACTGGAACCCGGCGGACGATGTCTTTCGGTACAAGGTCAGAGTATCGGACACGAACAAACGAGTAACTAAAAGGAATCTCCTGTCATTGATATCACAAATATACGATCCATTAGGTTTGGTAGGGCCGACATGCATCAGGGCCAAGATCATTCTTCAGCATCTTTGGAGGCAGAAAATCGGTTGGGACGAGTCACTTCCTGCTGATTT